TAGGACTTGTTCATTCAGGAAAGCATGAATGACAGTGGATCAACAGGCCAATTTCCAAGTTATATACCAGGATGAGCCTCCAAAGATGTAATAAGCAAAATACATCTTAGGTGGCATGCCTGTTGTTGGCAATATGTCATAAGTGACATGCCTGTTCTGTGCTGCATGCCTGTCATAGCTGACACACATGTCATAAATGACGGGCATGTCCTATGTGGCCGATATTGGAAACAACATATATGTCATGGTATGTTTTAGCGTGTTACAAACAACACTCTAGGAGCAAACTGTTCCTGGCTTAGTTGTACCACACGTAAGCAATCTTGTTAGGCTAGTGTGTGTTAGACACAGAGGCTGTCTGTGCTGCTCTGCTTTGAAGGTGCTCACTGTGGGAGCTGCCAGAGGACAGGGTCCTGTGTCTGCCTCTTTCTAGGAGGGAAAGGGCAGCTCTCAGCATCCATGGGAATTACCAAGCCCACCGTCCAATGTCCTCATCAAGGTGCCTCTCCACCCGAAGTGCATGAAGGCTCTTAATGTCCATCATCATCGCTGGTACTGGGCCTTTCTCCTTTTTGTTTCTTCTTTATGTTTTTGTTTTTTGATCCTGAGTCATCCAGGAGGACATTCATCATGACCTTCCCTAGAGACGGTGGTAGGCAGAGCGAGATGACAACCAGAAAAGAAGCTTCCAGCCCAGCTTCTCCTGCTTTGTCACATGTTGATGTTCCAGTTTCATGGAAGAACAAAGAGAATCTTGCAGTCTCAAAATAAAAGCATCATTCCAAGGCAAATCTTATTCCCAAACACCAGAAAGGCAACATGGCCCACGGCAGGTAAAGGTGAGTAAGTGGAAACCCTGTCGACCTGCCTCTGGGAGCAGCACCCCTGAGTCCTCATCAAACCCCAAGGATGGAGGAGTCTCAAACCCAAGGGTGACCGGGTCTCAGGAAAGGGGGAAGGGAGGGAGAGTGGGTCAGGACGGGACCCCTTGTGGTCAGCATTCTTGAATCCTTTCCCAGCTGCACCCTTATATCCAGACCCCATGCAAATGGGGCTCTCCTCCTCCTCATAAAAGAGGGCCCTGCCCCGAATGCTGGGGAGACACACCCAGAACCCAAGCGCCTGAGACAGGACCCCAGCGGCTCCACCATGGACTTGGTGCCAAGCTGCGTTTTACTCCTGATCATTCTTCAAGGTCATTCTCAGGAGTGGGCAGCACTGAGACCTTTGCCTGTGCCTGTTTTTGCTTCCATGTGATTCTCAGTCCACCTTGTGTCTCTGTGTTTGCAGGTGTCCAGTGTGATGTACAGCTGGTGGAGTCTGGGGCAGGCTTGGTGCCACCTGGGGGGTCTCTGAGACTCTCCTGTGCAGCCTCTGGATTCACCTTCAGTAGCTACTGGATGCACTGGGTCCGCCAGGCTCCAGGGAAGGGGCTGGAGTGGCTTGGTGATATTAGTCCTGATGGAAGTACCACAAACTATGCCAATGCTGTGAAGGGCCGATTCACCATCTCCAGGGACAACGCCAAGAACACGCTGTATCTGCAAATGAACAGCTTGAAAGCCCAGGACACGGCCGTGTATTACTGTGCAAGACACACAGTGATGGGAAGTCATTGTGAGCCCAGACACAAACCTCCCTGAGGGAGGCAGCAGGGCTGGGCTGCAGGGGGCGTCCAGGACACCAGGGGGCGCTCAAGACCAGTACAGTCCCCAGAACAGGAGCAGGTGGAGAGTTAAGCAAGGACACAATTTCCTTCTCTGCCTTAAATTAACTTTGCTCCCAGGCTCAGCCACAGAGCTCCCAGAAAGCCCTTTCCAATGTCCAGGTTTAGGGATTGTATTTGTGAATAAAAAAGGAGGCTCTGTCGTAAATCTGACAAAATTCAGTGACTGAAGGGAGACTCTGATCTCAAATTCCTATTTGGTTGAGGATTAACAAAGCAAATTAAATAAGTAAAGGAACCTTATTTTAATAAAACAGGACAGGAAGGAAGTGGTAGGAGGAAACCCCGTCTTAGTACTGTTATCATAAAAAACACATTCAAATCTGTAAAGAATTTTTGTGAGCTTATTTCAGCCAAACTGTGGACAAATGCCAGGATGCGGGACCTCCACAGACTGAGATAATGCTCCCGAGAATGGCGGGTTTTCCTCTATTTTTATACATTGCAATCCAAGGACGGACATAGGTGGGTTACTTGAAATCCACTGGTGATAGACTAGAGAGACAGTAGAAAGCAAAGCCAGGAAACCTCTGTGATTGGATAAAAAGTAAAATGAGAGACACAGGCTTAGGTGGGTGCAGGATCAATTAACATGATAATGAAGGAATTTGTGATATCTGTCCTGGGGCCCAGCACATTAGGTTGTGCCTCAAGGAGTTTGGAAAAGGGGAAGATACAAGTTACCTAGACATTGCAAGTGTATGTTATTATAGATGCAAAAAGACAGATAGGCTCAGTTAAGGTCAAGGTTGACCTTGTCAGTGAAGATACCAGCCTAGGACGTAAATACCCACCATAACTGCTTTTAGTTCAAGTTTCATTTCAGACCATCCTTTGTGGTGACTTTAGGTCTCTCAGTTTGCAGGACCACCAAGCAGGCCTCCCCTGACCTGTCAGATTAGCATGTGGCCCCTTTCGTCCACAGTTCTAAACCCAGGGAGGACCATGTGCATGTTCCTCTAGGAATGATGATGGAGCTCAGATACTTTTAAGTTCTTGAAAAAAGAATTCACAGCAGCCTCACATGGTGTGTGTCGCCATGGTGTGAAGCCTTTTGCTGAAAAAGCACGTTGGTTTCTTGTGGGTCTACACCTGTGTCAGGACTCCTGATCATATGTTATTGACACGGAATTTTTGACTGGAACCCGGATTCTTTGTCCACCAGTCGAAGAATGAATTCACAAACAGAAGGTGGTGTAGCAAAGGTGAGATTTATTGAAGAACAAATACAGACTTCCACGTGGGGAGGGGGGAAAGGTACCACAGACGTCCTATTTTCATGGTTTATAAAGACTGCAGTTCCCATGTCCTTATATCCCCTCTGACTGGTCAATATTTCCTTTGAATTTGTTACTATATTGACTCCTGAGGCCCTGCCCCCTCATTGTCCTCCTCTTCCTTCTGGGCTTTCTTCCTTCTTCATTTTGTAAATATAGAACTTTTTGGCCACTTCTAGTTCCCTTGTCTTATGGACATACACCTTCTCCCAGTCTGTAGCCCTGTGTTTTTTCCATGGACTCCAATTCTAAAAATTCCCTAAAACTGTCTATATTTTCCTAAAATTCATTTCATGATCACTTTCTGTGGGCAGAGCCTGGGTTTTAGGTTGATCCTTAGGTGTTTCTCTGTGTTTAGGCCTTATTGTTTTTCTTTCCAAATGCATTTTCCCACTGGTTGGTGCTTGTACACCAATTCCTGTGGGGGTGTATCTTTCCAGAGGATTTTCCATATGGATAATGAAGTTATCTCTGAATAGAAAAGCGAGACTCCTTCCTGCAGCCTCAGGGCGCCCTGGGTGGGCATGGGCAGGGTGCAAGCCCCATGTGCCTACAGGAGAAGCCAGAGGCCCCTGGGCGGCCCCTGCAAGTGACATCCCACCCCCTCCCTACCCACCCACTATCCACCCAGTCCACCAGGATGCCTCCAGTTCCCAAAGCTGCCTAAAACCCTGGTGGACCCCTGGGACCAGTCTTCAGGCCACACTCCCTGGGACCAGTTGGGCCTTGATCTCTCCCTTACTAACAGCACTGCCCCTGCTCCCAGCGAGGTCGGTCTTCAGGCCCAGCAACCAGGCCCCAGGGTCTCCCCTTCCTGGCAGGGAGCCTGCCCCCACACCCCCACAACCAACAAGCGCAGCCAGAGGTTCAGATGGAGCCAAAAAGAAAAATCCGCCCTTGGGACAGTCACTCCTCCTTCTGGGCCACAGTCACACCTTGAAGCTGTGAGAAATGCTCAGTAACCCTTTCCAATAAAAGTTGACTTTGCTGGGGGTGGATCTCAGAGGCCTATTTCCTACACTGGGGAACTCCCTAAGCAGAACCTCGCTTCTGTGACTCCTGTCAGGAGCCATCATTCTTTTATTTATTTTTTAAAATATTTTTTTTTGTTAATACTCACTGAGTGTATTTTCCCATTGATTTTTAGAGAGAGTGCAAGGCAGAGGGAGAGACAGACAGAAACATCAATGTGGGAGAGAGAGAGAGACATTGATCGGTTGCCTCCTGCACACACCCCAACCAGGGCTGGGGAACCTGCAACCAAGGTGCGTGCCCTTGATCAGAATCAAACCCAGGACCTTTCATTCTCCAGGGCGACGCTATACCTACTGAGCCTCACAGCCAGGGCAGGAGCCATCGCTCTTTGTTGACTAACCACTGGGGTCACTTTAGAAGGAAGAGCTTTTATACACCCACCTGGGCCATTTGGTGTCTCAGCTGCTCCTGCCCCTGCCTGCTCCCTGCAGAGATGTTCCCTAGTCCCCAGCTCCCTGTGCTCAGTGTGAGGCACCTCATCAGGAGGCAAAATGCAAGCCTAGGCCTATGTCCTTCCCCTGTGGGTCCCCTGAGCTGAAGACTCTCACTTATGCCCTCTGCTTCCAGGTTCCCCAGCTGACCAGCTCTGGGGGCTCATGGTGTGTGTCTGATACACAAGCACCTAGCCTGTGACCCCAGAACACAGGGACAGGGCTTCTGTCTTCTTCACTGATTTGTCCTTGTTACCTAGAGGGATGCTGGTGTGTCATAGGCCCTCAGTGTTGGTGGAATAAATGAATGAATGAAAGAAATTCAATCAAGTGATGTGGGTAAACAGGCTCTGAAATTGGTGTAAGATCCACATCTCCCACACCCAAGGGCCCACCTCTGAGCACCCTTGTCTGTGGCTCCTGCCTTGGGTCCCACTTGCCCAAGGACCGTGCTCTGGGGAAATCGGGCTGCATTACTGGGGTCTGTGCCTCAGCAGGCTGTGCACACCCGGAGCCTTATATCAGTGAGCCATGCTCAGGCAGATGCCAGGTGTGGCTTCCTGTGTAAATACAACCTCCACTGGGGCCGCAGAGCCTGCTGAGTCTGGCTGACCCAGGGACATGGCTGTCTCCCTCCTCCTCTTTCTTCCCATACTGGGGCTCCCCTGGTGTCAGTGTCTGGGGACCTGGCAGATCACAGAGGTTTTCACAGAGATGTGGACTTATTAACCTTGTTGCTTCCTTTTGTCCCAGGTGTCCTGTCCCAGGTGCAGCTGCAGGAGTCGGGCTCCACGATGGTGCAGCCCTCACAGACCCTGTCCCTCACCTGTGCCATCTCTAGGGACAGTGTCTCCAGCAACAGTGCTGCTTGGCACTGGATCAGGAAGCCCCCAGGGAAAGGGCTCCAATGGCTGGGAAGAACCTACTTCAGGTCCAAGTGGTGTCATAGAAGACCGGAGAAAAACCAAGCAATGCTTAGAGAAACAAAGTTACACAGCTTTATTATGCTGACAGACTCAGAGGAGATGTATCTCAAATTCTGGGAAAAGCAATCTGGTGGAAGCTGTTCCTTTAAATCTTTTTGGCTTCTTTGTCCCCCAAATATGGATGGGACTCCCAGACTTTCCGGGGACTTTGAAAAAAGCCCCGTGTGTGAGGATAGGGGTCATGGTACCATACCTAAGGGCCTGATCTGGTGCCAGCACTGGAAGAAATGGGATGCTCACCCCTTGGTCATCTCTTATCAGCAGGAAGCAGCTATGAGTGGTAGTCATCCCGGTTCATCATAACATCGGTAGTCAACTTTGAGGACTGTAGGCTGTATGTAGGTTCCATTTAATTCCTAAAGCCTTAGCTATTCTGCTGCAAAAGCTGGGCCATTATCATATCCTATGGTCACAGGCATTCCACATCACGAAATTATGTCCTTCAGTAATGCCTTAGTGACTTCTCTTGCCTTTTCTGTACGAGTGGGATATGCCTCCACCCATCCTGAAAAGGTGCAAATAAAGATTAGCAGGTATTTATTTCCTCTGCTAGGCCCTATTTCCGTAAAATCTATCTCTAAGTCTTCAAAGGGAGCTTCCCCACAGTGCTGAACTCCTATTGGTCCTACAGGACCCTGTTTGGCTTTGTTCTGTGCACAGAGGATGCAACGTTGAGAAACCGATGCACACAAGGAGGAAAGAGGGGCAATTACGTACTATCTGCCTTACAAAGCTTCTAGGGCAATCTTCCCTAAATGAGTAAGTTCATGCTGCTGGAGTATTACCTTATGGGCTAACTGTTCTGGGACATAGACCCTATGATCTGGGCGTATCCACCAACCTTCCTTCGTTCTCTTTCCCCTTTTTTGCTGGAACCATTCCTCTTCCTGAGGAGTGGATTTTGGAGGTTCAGGTAATTTGGGGGGCCAACATGATCTGTGACGGTGCTACTTGTTCTTTCGCAGCCACCTTGGCTGCAGCATTAGCACTTTGATTTCCTTCAGACACTGCGTCTTTCCCTTTCTGGTGACCTTTGCAATGGATGCCAGCTACTTCCTTGGGCTCCCGGACTGCTTCTAGTAACTTTAAGATCTCATTCTGATTTTTTTATTTCATTTCCTGTAGCCATCAGGAGCCCCCTTTCCTTGTCTATAGCCCCATGGATATGCAGGATAGCAGAGACATAGTGCGAATCAGTGTAGATGTTGGCACGCTTATCCTTACTGAGTTCTAGGGCTCTGGCTAGGGCCCAAAGTTCTGCCCTTTGCACTGACCATCCTTCAGGCAGGGCCTGTGCCTCAATTGTCTCAAAGTTTGATACCATATCCAGCTCATCTTTTTCCTTCATCTAGGAAGCTACTGCCACCTGTGAACAATACTAAGTCCATTTTCCAAAGGGGGCTCTCTGTTAGATCTGGTCTGCTGCAGTAAACCTCCTCTAGGGCTTCTAGGCAATCATGCTCCGGGGCTCCCTCAGCAACGAGTACAAAGGTGGCAGGATTAAGAGTTCTCACTGCTTCTAGTTGTACCCATGGATTTTCACATAGGAGCCCCTGATACTGGGTCATCTGAGCATGAGTCAGCCAGTGCTGCCCTCTAGCTTCCATTAGGTGACAACAGAATGAGGTACTTTGATATTTAAACTTTGTCCCAAGGTAAGCTTATCTGCTTCTTTGACTAATAATGCTGTGGATGCAAGGGCCCTGAGACACGGGGGCCACCCAGAGGCAACTGGTCAAACTGCTTGGAGTGATAGACTACTGGTCTTTGCCAGGGTCCAAACTCCTGGGTTAGAACTCCTAGGGCTACCCCAATGTTCTTGTGAACAAAGAGGTTAAAGTTCTGTGTCACATTTGGTAGCCCTAGTGCTGGGGCCACAGTGAGCTTTGCTTTAATAGTGATAAAGGCATTTTCCTGCTCAGGACCCCAGTTGATGGGTGCTTTCTCTTCCCCTTTCAAAGCTTCATAGAGAGGCTTGGCTATGTTTGAAAACTTTGGGATCCAAATTCAACAGAACCCTCCTGCTCCCAAGAATTCCCGAATCTGCTGCAGGGTGTTAGGGACTGGGATGGCACATACTGCCTGCTTCCTTTCAGTCCCTAGTCTTCATTTCCCTTGGGTGATTCAGAAGCCTAGATACTTGACTTCTTTCTGACAGATTTGTGCCTTTTTCTTGGACACCCTGTAACCTGTTTCAGTTAAGAGTCTCAGAAGGGCCCTAACCGGTTTGGCTCAGTGGATGGAGCGTTGGCCTGCGGACTGAAGGGTCCCAGGTTCAATTCTGGTCAGGGGCATGTACCTGAGTTGCAGGCACATCCCCAGTGGGGAGTGTGCAGGAGGCAGCTGGTCGATGTTTCTCTCTTATAGATGTTTCTAACTCTCTATCCCTCTCCCTTCCTCTCTGTAAAAAATCAATAAAATATATTTAATTAAAAAAAAGGATCTCAGAAGGGTTTGCTTTCCTTCCCAGCACTGAGCTCACGTGTAGGTCGTATACATAGTGAAGTAGAATGCACCCCAAGTCTAGTCCTTGGGATTTAGACAGATAAGATGCTAGTGCGCCACTAAAGAGAGTAGGGGAATTCTTGAATCCTTGTGGCAGTCTGGTCCAGGTGAACTGCTCCTTGGACCCGTAGTTCGGTTTTTCCACTCAAAGGTGAACAAAGGCTGACTGAAGGGTGCCAGCTGAAGGTAGAAAAAGGCATCTTTCAGATCTAGATATGTTCACCATTCGCCTTTGATGGAATGAGTCCCAGAAGTGTGTAGGGGTGTGGTAGCACCTAATGCAGGGTTATAACAGCCTCATTAACAGCCTGCAGGTCCTGCACGGGGCGGTAATCATTAGTCCCAGGCTTTTTCACAGGCAAGAGAGGAGTGTTCCATGGAGACTGGCATCATTTATGAAGTCCCCACTGAAGCAGCTGGTCTAAGTGGACCTGGATTCCTAGGTGTGCCTCCCTTGGAATCAGATATTGGTGGATTTTAACAGGCTGTGCCCCAGGCTTTAAGTCGATTAAAGGATTCCCTTCTACCCAGACTAGCAGGAATTCTTCTTCTAATTCAGGTTCTAATGGTGAAGCCTTTGACTGGGGGGTATAAAGTCTCCATTCTTCCTCCCTCAGCACTGCGAAGGATGGGATCGCTGGGGAGGTCTCCTCACCTAGGCGAAGCTGTGCTGAGCCATCTGGAGCAAAAGTGATTTCTGCCCATTTTGGCTAAAAGTTCTCTATCCATCAGAGGTACTGGACAGTCTGGGAAGTACAGGAATTCATGAATTACTTGGTGGCCGCCAAGTTGGCATTGATCAGGGCAGCAGAATGGTCTATGTGTCTGGTCCCCAGTAGCTCTAATAATGGTGACCTCTTTTCCTGGGAGAGGCACTACTTTCTGTGTGACTACTGAGTGCTCAGCTCCTGTATCAACCATACAGTTTAAGGTCTGGAACCCAATTTTCATTCTGACCATCGGCTCTTGGGGGCCTAGCTGAAAATAGCCCAGTCTGTTGTAGGAGGAATCAGCCATTTCTAGACTAATAAGATTTTCTTCAGGTAGATCTGGTTGATAGGACTAGGCCAGTGGTTGGCAAACTGGCCCCTTGAGTGTTGCTCTTCCACAAAATACCACGTGCGGACGCACACATACAGTGCCCTCAGATTGGCTGCAAATGCACAAAAATGTCCCAGTACCCTCCCAGGATCAGCAGCCCCGCACACGCCCGGGGAGGATTGTGTGGCTCACTAGAGGCCCCAAAACCTTTCTAATCCCTCCCTGGTGGGCTGTAGGAACTGCAGCCAGGGGAGACCCCGCGCGGTGGGGGCCGGGCTCCAGAACCTCAGCAACACCTGCTATGCTGACTCAGCCCTGCAGTGCCTCAGCTACACCCCACCCCTAGCCCACTACCTGCTGTCCGGGAGGCACTCAGGGGCCTGCGGGCAGCGGGCAGCGGGCATCCTGCACCCTGTGTGCCCTGCAGGCTCACGTGACCCGGGCCCTCCTGTGCCCCGGGGACGTCATCGTGCCCAAGGGGAAGCTGCTCCCGGGCTTCCGCGGACCAGCAGGAGGACACCCACGAATTCCTCCTGTTCACGCTGGACGCCCTGCAGCAGGCCTGTTTTCGGAAGAAGCAGCCACTGCCGACACCACCGCCCCCGCTGCCTCCGCCACCTCTGGGCCGGCCCTCACAGGAGGACGCCACCCTGATCCACCGGGTCTTTGGAGGCCACTGGAGATCTCAGATCCAGTGTTTCCGCTGCCATGGCGTGTCAGACACCCTGGACCCTTACCTGGACATCGGCCTGGACATCCAGGTGGCGCAGAGCGTGACCCAGGCCCTGAACCTGCTGGTGAGGCCTGAGCTGCTGGACCCGGCAGACTGCTACCAGTGCGGAGCGTGCCTCCGGAAGGTGCCGGCCACCAACATGCTGCGCCTGCACGCGGCTCCCCGGGTGCTCATGCTGGTGCTGAAGCGCTTCTTGGCGCCGGCAGACAGCAAGGTGGAGCGGGACGTGCGCTACCCCAAGCGCCTGGACCTGCGGCCCTAACTGTTCCGGCGGCAGCGCGGCGCGCTCCAGCTGCTGTACCGCCTCTACGCAGTGCTGGTCCACGCAGGCCGCACCTGCCACAGCGGCCACTACTTCTGCTACGTCCGAGCCACGGGCGGCCCGTGGTTCAAGATGGACAACGCCCAGGTGACCACCTGCGACGCGTCTGTGGCCCTGAGCCAATGCGCCTATGTGCTCTTTTACATCCAGACCAGTGAACTGTAAGGACACGGCGGGGACCTGAATTTGCAGAATTTTATTAGAATGGGATAAAAAGTATATACAGCTGAATTTAATAAAACATTTCATACAGCATAATACATAAAATAAAATAAGTAAAATACCCACCCCCCGCCCCAAGACGTGATGAGTCTTTCCAGTGTTCAATGATGCCTCGAGAAAGGGGGTGAATTCTCCGAGTCCAGGGAATGCGCTGGGAAAAGCATCAGGAAGCCGCGAGTGGCAGATGTACGCACTCCCAAAAGCTCGCCCAGTCCTATGGGCTCCAGAGCACGCCCCCCAGGAGGAGCGTGGAGGCTGGGCTGGGTTCTTGGGAAGGTTCTGGGCAGCAGCTTCTCCAGTGGGTCCCGCAACAGCAGCAGCTATTCCCGCTCCCAGCCCTGAGAACCGGCAGCGAGGTCATGTGCGGCCTCCCGGGCTCAGCCTGGCCACAGACCAAGCTGCCCCAGCCTGCGCCACGAGCCTGCGCAGTGGCCATCAAAGGGGGTTGGGGGTGCGGCAGAGCCCAGGCCACCTCTCCAGGGTGGATGCTTAGAGGTTAGCCAACTCTGCAGGCAAGCAACTGGCGGCGGAGACTCACTGACCTGTGCTTCTCGCACCCTCATGGGCGCACACCAGGGGCCCCTCTGGTCCCGCGGCATCTGCAGGACTTGGCGGGGACACACTCCCTCAGAGATCCAGTAACTGGAAGAGGTCCACGTCAGTCACAAAGTCATATGCTGTCAGCCACCAAGTCGTACCAGGGCCTGGGGGAGGAGAAGGGCTCCTCCGAGGAGCAATAGGGTGAGAGCAGGTCTGTGAAATCAGGGTCCTGAGAGAAATTCCTGGCATCGTCGGGACCCTGTGGCGAGACTGTGGCCTTGGATGGAGCCGGAGCAGGAGCAGGAGCAGGTGCAGCGGGGACCGTGACCTGGACACCTTGCGCAGGGTCGCAGCAGGCCTGGCAGTAGCTGGCAGAGCTGGGATCTGCTGCTGGGAAGACCTGCAAGGGTCTGTGAGGAGGGAGGCTGCAGAAACCCGAGCCCCGTGGTGCAAGGGGGCGGCAGGGAGCGCAGGGCTAGTGGGGAACACAGGGCCAGCAAGGAGCACAAAGCCGGCCAGGAGCACAGGACCCGCAGGGAGCACAGGGCTGGCTGGGAACACAGGGCCAGGGGGGAACACTGGCTCCTCAGGGCACACAGGTTTGGCGGTCAGCACAGGGCTGGCAGGGAGCACAGGGTCCTCCTGGGACACAGGGCCCGCATGCGCAGGTGCGGGTGCAGGCACGGGCTGAGGGGCGCAGACTGTCAGTTCCTGGGGCGCAGCGTGGGCTCCCTGGCCTTCGCTGCAGCCTGCGGTCTTTGGCCCTGCGGTTTTTGAGCCACACCTGGGGAGAGAGGGGACAGGGACAAAGTGTAAGAGGGGAGAAACTCGGCGCATCCGCCTGCGCCCAGGGCTGAGGGGGCTAAGGGAAGAAGGGCTGGCCTCACCCTCTCCCTTCGCCCCCAGACCCAACTATCGGCCCGGGTTGGGGTGGACTCCGGAGAGGGTATGGGTTGTAAGGTGGGCAGCAGGCAGTGGGAGGGAGAGGGGTGATTCCCGGGGTTGGGGTGGGCATGGGGGCCGTACCTGCACTTGGGACTCCTGCAGGCTCAGCCTGGCCACCAGGGTCTCGCGTTCCTCATAGGTCCAGTAGGGTTTCCCCTCAAAGAATTCCTCGAGGACCCGCAGCTGTTGTGTGCTGAACAGGGTGCGCAGCCGGAGCCCTGTCCTCTTCCTCGGGGCGCTCAGGGACAGCCAAGAGCCTGGCAGAAGCGGATAGCGAGGTCAGAGGAGCGCCCAGGCCTGTCCGCAGCACACCAGGGCTGGGCCACAACACATCCTTGTGAGCAGGTGGCGGCCCCGTGCCCGAGGGCCGGGGATGGCGCTGGTGCCTGAGAGCGTGGCCTGTGGTGCAGCTGCCTTGATCCAGCACCTGCCTGCCCCGGGCTCTGTAGGCCTGGATGTCTGCATCTCCGAAAGGGGCCCGGGAACAGCGCCTGCTTTCTTCTTGCGGGGCCCACAGGAAGGCATGGCCGGCCTTCAAACTGACCCAGGCTGGTGCCCCCGGTGGGCTTCCTCTCCCCCGGCCCTCAACCAGACGGGGTCATGTCATTCCATCCCCCAAACCCACCAAGCCTCCCAGAGAAGCGGGCCCTGATCTGGATGGCTGGGAGCATGCAGCCCCAGCCCCAAGATCCCACCTCCGGTCCCCAAGCCCTCACGGTGGGCCCAGACGCACAGGTGGGAAACCCGGGTTCTTGTATCCTGGATGCTCCTGGGCCCTCTGCGCTTGAAGCTCTGGCAAACAGCCCTGCGAGTGCCGCCTTAAATACCTGGGAGGCACTCGCCACCCAGCGGTCCCAACCAATGGGGCTCGAGGCAGCGCTGCCCTCAGGCCCCGCCCCTTGTGCAGGTATGTGCGTGCGTGCATGTCTAGGGGTGAGGTGGGGTGGAGTGGGGGTGGGGCGGGCGGGGAGCTCAGAGAGGCACAATCATTGATTAGTCCTTTGACCGAGCAGCTGCCCGCACCCCATGCCTGTCCTAGGGCCTGGCAGACATAGGTGGCCAGACAGCCGTGGCCCTGCCCTCAAGAGGACTCGGTAGTGTGCTGTTCCTAAGGGGGCTTTTATTAGAAGCCATGTGAGAGAAGATGACCTTCGTGATGGAATGCCAGAGGAAACCAAACGGTGAGATCTCCTTGCTAGTTTCAGCTCGCCATCTGAACTGCCTCTTCCCATGTCAGGGTGGCTTCTCCCCTAACTGGACATGATTTCTGCTTCCTGGGAGCAAGTTGGTCTCCACGACAGTTGATGGCCCTGACGCCCACAAGGGATAACCCAACCAATTCCTTGTTTGTAAATTGTGACTGGAGCCCCTTCTCCATAATGTCTAAAGAAAACAGGTGTGTACAACCAAAAGAAAAGAAAAAAGGTGTCTAGAACTCTGTCTCCTGGCCCCACTTAGCAGAGACATAGAATTATGTCCCACCAAGATTTTTCCATGAGAGCCCTTGATATGCCCGAATGACCTTGCCTGAGCTGGGTCTGTGCGTATGCAGTGGCATCTAGCACCTGAGGTAGAAGATCTTGGCTGCGTCATCATTGGATTGTGTTGAAGAAAACATAGACAGAGGGAGCTGCCATGTTTCCAAGCAGCCATTGGGGAAAGGGCTGTGTGAACCTGAATGTATGTGTTCAAAACCGCATAAGGAAAACTAACACACCAACACTTTGCTTCTTTCGCAACACATTTTATTGTTCAAGTATCTGCAAGCATTGCTGTTCTGAAAGATGAATTTCTTACAAAATTCTACGTTCAAAGTTGCCAGATCACCCTAGCTTCCCGCAATGGATGTCACAGTTCTATAAACAACTTTCATTTCCACAGACATTTCATTATTTGCTGAGCTGTGTGTTGAAGGGCTCTTTACAAGTGTTCACACAGGCAGATGCACACACACACACACACACACACACACACACACAGCACACATGCCCTCATATTTTCTAATATAAAAACAACTAAGTATGTGTGTTTCCATTTGGGATTGCTGTATCCTTGGTGTGGGATATTTTAGGTTGAGTAAGAAATAAGTGATCAATGAATGCCTCGCCTTTCAGACACAGTGGTTTGTACACTGTGAATGGTCACATATATGACAAATGTTGTTTGATGAATAAAAGATTTCACCCTGCATCATTTCACTTGAGTGAATAATGTGTAAAGCAGTGTTGGTCTTTCATGATTCCCTCTCTTTTGTTGAGTTCCATCATGTTTTCTAAGGGAAGGACCATGACTGGAGGATTTTCCACATAGCTGACATGCCTAGGGCTCTTCTCCCGTGTAGGAACTCTGGTGTCTGATGAGATTCACATGTTGACTGAAGGCGTTCCCACACTGAACGTATTCACATGGATTCTCTGTGGTGTGTGTTATGTGGTAACGTGGTCAGCTCAGACTTTTGACGGAAAGCC